TATTGCCGGTATCCCTTATTGCCGAGTCCTTATTGCCGAGCTATCCGCGAATCTTGCACTAATAGGGGCTGTAGAAGATTATCATTTGTTTCAATATATAGAGCTATACTATCTTGGACAAAGTTGTTGTACTGGGATTGACCAACAAGCCTGTGTCATTGGATTCATTTTTAATTGGGAACCACGCCGCTAGAGGCGCTTCACTTTTATGTTACTTATGACGGGCGCTTTAATATATGGATCTATGGTCCAACATAGAATATTTCGTGATCCTGGATATATAGAAAGTTGCTGACTTCAATAAAGTTGTTCAAGTGACCAAGTGTTTCGGATGGTTTACATATTAGTTCAGAACTCGCTCACTACGCAGCGCTAGTCTGCACATGAGCTTCGTATAAAAGCTGTATCCCAAAATCGTGGTTATATAGAAGGTTACTGTCTTCAGCAAAGTTGTTCAGGTAATCGTGTCTTTTTGTATGGTGTTCATATTAGTTCAGAACTCTCTCACTTCACAGCGCTAGTGTGCATATGAGCTTGCTATATAAGCTGTATCTCAAAATCCTGGCCATATAGAAGGTTACTGTCTTCAGCAAAGTTGTTCAGGTGACCAAGTCCTTTCGGATGGTGGCCTTATTATTTAAGAACTCTCTTACTACGCGGCGCTAGTGTGCACATGAACTTCCTCAATATGTAATGTCTGGAAAGTTTGCCCATATAAGATGTTGCTGTGCAATGTGAGGACACGAAACACAATAAGGATGACGTGTAGAGAGACTGAAAATCGGACGTCATTTTAAAATCCAAGATGGCGGTCATCGATACAAGAAAATCTGTCAAATACCCTACAATATGGGTATTTCTGGAATGCATGTTGTATGCATTCTAGTCACCCTCGTTTATGCACTCCTTGAGAAAGGTTTTGACTTCCATTTTTGCACTCTGTTCGACATTACTGTCCAGTGTGCAGAACTTTTCGAACTCCGAGAGTTGATTTATTTTGAACCCGAATCCTGCCGTGGTGGGATGAACATTAATCCATATTCATTGTAGATGGGTCCAGTTTGCTAAAAATTTCATCTGCTGTAGCCGGTTCATCTCTTAATATTTCGTTGATTTCACTGTGTTTTTTTCCCCGACGCACCAAATTTTACGTGAATTTGTTGAATTTTGAACATGATCTGCAAATCCTCGTTGTCGTCTTCATTGCATTGTTAACTCGCGAAATTCGACGGAATATTTTTCTTCCAGCAGTTTACCAACGTGCTTTGCTTTATGTCCTTTAGAACCACATCCAAGCAGTCGAAAAAAGTCTTGATGCTGAACTACTTTCGTGTATCCGTTCGTGAAAGGCCTTCATTCTCGGCTGTTTCCAAAATAAAACTGTAGCTTCTCTTGACATAGTTCAGCTTGAAATTTTTGATGATGCCTTGATCAAGGGATTGAATGTATATAAGCATTATGTTGGGATTGCTTATGGTGGGCGGATGCGATGGAGCGTTATCAAGGACAAAACTCCACCAACTGTGGTACGAAGCAGTCGTTTATCTAGTCCTCAAATAATTCTCGGGTCATCCAACCTTTCTTGTTGCTACGATAATGAACAGGGAGATTCACTTTCTGGGGATTTTTAATGACCCTTGGATTCGCGACATTGTTGATAACGAACGGCTTCATCATCAGGGACCCTTTCGTGTTAGAGCAAAACATGTTTTAGAACCCTTTTTTGTCCCCTTTTGATCCCGGAATTGTTTTCAGATGCTCTAAGGCATAAGATCTTTGAGCCGTTTTTTTTTTTTTGTAAAAGAGTTATGTTTCATCGCAGTTGAAAACTTGGTTAAGACAACACTGAACACTTTAAAAGTTTTACCAACGATCAAATGGGATCGATTTCTGGCCTTTACACGTCGTTCCCTTTCCGGAAATACCCATATTATAAGGTATTTGACAGTTTTTCTTGAACCGATAGTCGCCATCTTGGAGTCCAATTATTAAATAAGATATGACCTAAAATGTAATTGAAGGCTTCATATTATACCGAGGTTAGGGACATGTACCCTACATAAATAAAAATAATTCCAACTCAATATTCAAAGATTTTCTGAAAGTTTTGAAATCTTATCAAGATTGTTGGGGGGATAAGGATTAACTTAGAGTATTTCACTAATTCTAATAATCACTCAAAAAACTTTACATAATTTGTAGATAACCCTAGGGAACTAGAGAAATGAACCAAGCCAACATGCCTTTATCGACTGAGTAATCTAGAGCCCCCAAAGATCATTAGGTTTATCGGTATCGTTTAGGATTTCGAATTATGGATTAACACAATCCTGAAATCGTTAAGCTTATGACCTGCTTGCGAAAAATTGCGTGTTCATCTCAAGGTATCTATTTTGTCAGAAGGGAAATTAATTGCCAGGATCGAATGATGTTTATCTTTACGGTATTAAAAAATGTACCTGTAAAATATTTTCACAAAATCAAAGTCGATAGTGACCAAAACAGGTTGTAGGACGAAAGGTCGAAGGGACAAAAGGTCGAATGTACAAAAGATCAAACTGGCAAAAGGTCAAAATGGACAAATGGACAAACGAATAAACTGGTCAAATTTTCGGAGGATAAAATGATAAAAATAATAATACTAGGGGAAATGGATGTAATGTTGGCCTAAATGCCCCTAATATGGGCTCATACATAAATTCAGCAATCGACTAAATTTTCTACAGCGACCTAAAATATCCATTAGTACCATCCCAATGACGCGTTCATCTAGATAAAATTGATAAATAGCAGATTTTTAGCAATAGTCGCAATCTTAGATCCATAGGCCAACATTAGAGCCATTTCCCCTAAATAATATTTTTCCATCTTTAAATCATTAGCAGCTCATTGGAAAACTAAGATAACATAAAGTATTTGTGCCTGTCATGGCTATTTAAGAGACAAATTACCTACTTTCTCTAAAATATATTGCTTCTTTATATCATATAACTTTGTTTTTTTTATTATAGTCACTTTAACGCTCTTGGTTCATTCGTGTCTTGTCCGGGGGTGAGATTTGAACTCGTGACTTTGGCGTGAGAGGTATGGATGCTTACCACTACGCCAGGGTTTCCCCCATACAGGAAAACTTTACCGCAATGGCAAGACTCGATTATTAAAACAAGACTGACAGTATTTTTAAATTAAAATTTAGTGAATCAGCGTTTAAAATGAGGTTCAAAGTTTTACCAATGTTTTTTTTTTCTTTGATTTTAATTGATTGATGAGCGTTTTAGTAGAATAATTGTATGCCTTTTTGCCTTTTAATTTTATTACTTTTGTATCACTTTTACTTTCACTAATTCAGTTTCACTAATTCACTTTCACTATCACTTACACGAACTATAACAGAGACGCATTTCGTTTACTACTTGCAAACTTCTTCAGTGTCTAGTCATTGACTTAATTTGTTTTCCGTTGATCTTGTTTTCCGTGCTGAGCACCAATGCTACCGACGTCAGAGAGGAAGCTCCCACACCTGGACCCTACCTATCGACCCATCAACTCAAACCGAGGACCAACTGCTTTACTTCTCTTCTCGAAGAAAGGCGTGATCAGAGATTTTATGCCTCAGAACATCCCGGTGGCACCGACTGGGATTGAACCCAGGCCTGCTGGGGTGAGAGGCAATCGCGCTTACCACAACACCACCGGCACTGCTTTGTTCGATAATGTTGAAAATTTGGTAAAACATTACCGAAGGCGGAAATAATTTCTAAGTTTGTAGTACTTTGAGCGTAAACTTTCTTAACAATATTTTTGCAATTATGATGTTGGTTTTTTAAACTTTTGTCCACTTCGTCCTTTTGCCCATTTCGACCTTTTGATCTTAGCCCTTTTGTCTTTCAACCGTGTGTTATATATTCGATTAAAAATGCCAAAGCAAACCACCCACCGCACATATGAATGAAATGCTGTACTGCGATAGTTTTCCTGTTTTGAGTTGAGTATTCATCATCGAATCACTTTTCCAGCACGTCATCTGCGTGACTATCTGAGCAGACATGACTCATCTCATGCCTATGTAAATAATGTACAAACTGTTGAACTCCGCCAAAATAAATAAATAAAAAAAAAATGCACACTGGCAGTCGATTGAATAATTGCAGCCCTCATCTGGCCAATGCCGAATTCCAGCATTACCCACCAGCGTATTGGAAGACCAAAGTGCATGAAAGCACGAATATTGATAGCAATTGTTGATTTTAGAGAGTGCGTACGAGTCTGGGCGAGTGAATTGGCAATCGCCATGTTAAGGATCCCCTCTCTTAATTTCTCCCGCTCACACTGTTTTTCTGCATTTGCATATAATTTCAGGGTTGGCTCATCGAACAACGTCCGTCCGTCCATTCATCCGTCCGTCCGTCCACCGCCTCGTCTGATAGTTTGGCAGCTGCTGCCATCCGAGGAGCTGCCTATCATCATCAAAAGTGGAGAAGTCTTTGGCCGGTCCGCTCGTCCGTAGCAGGTAGTCGGGTAGCGAAATTGAGCAGCTCAGCAGCAGTCAAGTTTCGGCAAGAATTCAAGTGAACAAGCAAAGTGCGCGCGCGTCTGCTGCGTTAAGTGGAGTGAGAGCTTTTTCCGGGGGAAGCAAAAAAGTGAAATTGTAGTTTTTTTTTATTCATCTTCGAGAAGAGCAACGAGATACATAATGATAATGATGTTAGTCAAACATTAAGTGTCATCGAGACGAAACACGACAGTTGTGATTCGGGGGAAAGGAAGTGAAGTGTGAATCAGTTTTTTTTTATTTGTCGCGTTCAATTCGTCGGTGAACTCTCTGCCTGTCTGTGACTAGAGCGATGATCGTTCAGTAATTACACGTAGCTTCAGTTTTACGGTTGTCGTCCGGACGGAACTGGTCTCGAGTCGTGTGTCGAGTTGGAGTTGCACCGGAATCTGTGACCTAGGGGAAGAAGAAAGTGTGGCAAACGAGTGTTTCGGAAAATTTCTGAGAGAAGAACCTGTCCATAATGATACCGATTTGTGCTAACGGCAGTGGTAGTTATCGTAGTACCATCCACCAACAACCTAAGCCACATCCCGCCGGAGCAGATCTGCATCATTAGCAGCAACAGGTCGTGGGCCTTCACCGCCTTGAAGCGGCCATCAACGACATCCGTGCTAGAAAAGAAAATCGATCGATTTCCTGTCGCCGCAATTTCTTTCCAACCACTAAGCCAAGCCACCTAGCCGCCAATCGTAAAGTGAAAGAAGTGGATAATAGTAATAATAATAAAAATAGGCCTCTCGCCAATGCCTTTTAACTGATAAATCGGGATCGCCGCAGCCGCCGCCGTAGCCAAGCACCTGTCCGTTTGGTTGCTTTCTGGAAGTTTTCTGGGAGCGCAAAAAGTGGAACACTGCCAGATAGCCCCGGCCATCCAGCCCCAGTCCCAGTTCAGAGCATCCGGTGCCTCGTAGCTACGCGCCAGAGGTCTAACGGATCTAGCAGAGCGCATCGAAGAATAGCGCCGTGGTCAGCAGTAAAACAGTTTCAGCATACAGATAGTTGAAGACGGAGTAGAAAAAAAAATAATAAAGTGCGCGCGGTAACACTATAGTGCATGCAAAGTCGTCCCCATCCGGCGATCGGCGTCAAGTTCGAGTTCAAGTTCTGCTGCCAGTGCCTCGATTTGAAGCCCCACCGTTGCTGTCATCCACGAGCTTAAGACGTGCCGCCAAGGTGAGTGGAGTTTGTTTCTGTGTGTTCTTCTGGTGGGTGAGGGGGGGAGGGCGATGAAAGACAAGATGGTTCTGCGGTTTATCGTTGTTTATGTTGATAACGTGAGCGCCAGATGATTGTTAATGATTGATTGCAGAGAGTGGGTCGGCGAATGAACGGTTTATCATGATGATAGAGTTTTGATTAATGAGTAGATTCAATTCGTTTTTATTTATCATCTTCTTTTAATTTTCTGATTTGCTTGTCAAAATATATGAAATCTAACTAATTGAATACATTGAAAAATCTTAAAAAAAAACATATTGCACCCTCTGTCATAAACCAGGAAAACTATAAAATTTAATTACAATCTATGTCTACGGGAAGGTACAGGGGTAAATTAAAAATCTAAAATTGTGACCGTCACAAAAATATGTTAGGTTTTGAACGATTATAACTTTGTCATTGATCGATGAAAATAAAATCCAAATACACCAATCGATAGGAAAGAACTCTAGAAATCTGATGAAGTAAATACTATTCCAATTTAACTTAAAAGACTTTTTTAAATTATTAAAATAAAAGTGATTGAATCACTGTTTTCATGGAAAAATAAATGTTTTCCCTAACCCAGACATCAAAATCGAATATTGCTTGGTTGCACATCGTTCTGCTTGAACATGTAAAGTTATAAAAAAGCGCTGCTGTCGCACTTCCGCTCATTTACACATCGGACGGCATGGTGAGCTGACCGCAGTAAACAATAGCAACATCATCGCTGAAAACTTCCTCGCAGCAGACGGCGTGTTGAGTGATATCACATTGACAATAATCTACTCGATATCATCCGATTTTCTACATATACATCGCTCTCTCATTTTCGGAGAGTCGATCGGATGATATCGGGCAAGTGTGGGATCAACAAGGTGATCAGTGAACCAGGAATTCTAAGTCACCTGGAAAAACCTGTGAATTTCTATGAAAAATTTATGTGGTCTTTTTTTCAGAAAAAATCAGATTTTGGGCCTTTGAAACATTTCAAGATTCTTAGAACAGACGAGATTTTTTTACGATGGAATTTTGAGAAGATTTTTTATTTTGGAATGAATGAATGACTTTTGAAGGGGATAATATTAAAAGAATTCCAAAGGCATCACAAAACGAATTTCTGGAGCAGTTTAAGACAATTCTCAATCAGAATTTCTAAACAATTCCGATGTGATTTTCATAGAGAATTCATCTGAATTTTAAATAGAATAATGGAAGGAAATTTTAAGAACAGAATCTAAGGATGAGTTTCATGATTTTTTGGAGTGATCTGCAGAGAATTCTAGACTGTTTTTGATTTATTTTTTAGGGTCCCATAGAGAATCTCAAACTAATTTAAGAAAAATTCTGAAATAATTTTGATGATGGAAAATTATTCCAAAAGAAATGCATGAGATTATCCTAATAAAATCCTGTAATTAAATTTGACTGAATTTTTTAGGTACTTTAGGTAGAGCTTTCTTCAGAACGCAAAAAAAGCACACACAAAATTGGGGGTTCACATTTTTAACAACTATTTTATGCGAAATTTCGTAATTGATCGCGGATATCTTACGATCAGAATATTATAATTTGAAATCTCTCCAATCAATTCTTGTTTCATCTTTTATCTGCCGATTGAGCAAAAGTTGTTCAGTACATATTTCTTTTTTTAGATTTCGTGCGTTTTGTCAACGCATATAAATTACTTTACATAAGAAAACGATGGGTTTCGTGATGAAAAAAAAAAGTGATTTCCCTCTCACAGATAACATATTTCAGTACCAAGTACTGTAATCATAAGAGGGTACCTATCCCAAGAAACAATTTTGGTTTTATGAGAGCTCTGTAGACTATGATTTAGGCTTATAGCATGCTATAAAACCTCTATAAAACTTGCAATGTTACTTGGTATACTTCCCAAGTAACAATTTTGGTTTTTTAAAGGTTCTGTAGACCACGATTTAGACTTGTGGAATTCTATAAAACCGCAATAAAACCTGCAATGTTACTTGGGTTATGCTTTTAGATTAGCATTTTAAGTAATTCCTATTTTAAGAACTTTTATGCCATAGAAAGGCTTGCTATGCCACGGCTCAGTTATAATATCCCGGAGTTTTACTGATGGGGGGGGGGGGCGTGGCATAGCAAGCCGTTCCATAGCATAATTCTTCATGTAGGAGGGACTTACAATGCTAATCTAAAGCATGAAAACAGTTAGAGAAATTCCTTCCACTTCAGATAGGAAATTCAAAATGATATTTATCAAGCCTATGGAAATGCATACGTTTGACGCTTAAATATGATGCTTAAATATCAAAATATTTAACAGATGGAAAGCCTGTACAGGTGGAAAACCTCGTATTGCTCGAATTTTGAAGTTTAATAACTGAGTCGCTCTAATTTCCAAATAATGTTACACTAAACACATACTTATTCGAAACCAATCGTTTGGTTTGCGGCAAATCTTCCTCAACTTTGCTGACGTGTAACCCAACATTTTGTTCAATATTGAAAGTACCGTCTTCTGATAAGAAAAACACAACTGCCTGTTACGTTATCACTAAATGCAACTTTCGACCTCTATATCGCTCCAGAGACCTAATTTAAAACCACTCTAACATGGAAATGGTCAGTCTAAAGACAAAAAAAATACGGGTGTAATATTTTCCGATAAGGAACAAAACTACAAATTCACTAAATCGCTTTGCTATGGAATAGCTGTGTATGGATCATAGCATAGCATGCTATAATTGTGATTGGCATCAAAATTCATTTTTATAATATTTTAGCATGAGAAAAATCCTAGTATTGGTAGCTTTTAACACGGTTTTTTTACACGGTACATATCCCCCGTGTAAAAACAAGTTGAGGGTTGTGTACAAAGCACGACGATATTTTTTTTTTTTCGACGTAAGACTACGAGATTATTGTTGCTGCTCCATTTAATAATTCATTAATAACAAAATAAATGGTTTAGAAATGTAACTCCAAAATGAACAAAAATTAGGATTCAACTTTTGAAATAAGAAAATACGTTCCTTGTTTTTTCATAATTAGGTTTCAAACATGTTCACCCAACTTTCGAAAACTAATTAATTGTAGTCATGTCAAAACAACTTGCTGAAGAATGAAAAAAAATATATATATATAAATTTAAATTTTCGCTGAGAGCAATCCAACACAACTTGTTCGCAACTAAAACCTTTTGAATGCCGATTTCTGATTCTGAAATGCATTTGTAAAGAGCATTGTTTCAGTGCAGTTCTACTTTGCTAAGTCTCAGTAAAAAAACATGCAGATAGTCAGCTAATAAACGAGACTATTGCTGTGATCTGAAGAAAAATAAGTACACTGAAAACGAAACTTATTCAGAGAGTGAGTCAGTTTTACTCAGTTGTGAGATAATTTTACTCATTCGTATGGAGAAAGTACTAAAAGCGTAGGTCACTCAACGCATGAGTAACCTACGCTTTTAATAATTTATCCATACGAATGAGTAAAAGTGACTCACTCTCTGAATAAGATTCAATTTCAGTGTACCTAGATAGTTAGTGGTGCCAATCTAGGAAATACAATCTGGATGTGCATTTTGAATTTAGTAAGCTTTTAACAGTTTTAACGGAAAAATTGGATATTATGAGTTGTGAAAAATATTGCATGAAACCACCGATTAATCCATATGAGCTAATTTACCAAATACCACAATGTCCATCTGAACATCATTGCTGGTATTCTTCCATATAATGGGAATTCCGATAGTCGAATGACTCATTCAAGTCGACCGGGGCGCAGCTCGTTGTTTGCAGGCAGCTTTTTGTTGTGTACTTGAGAACAATATTCAACGCTACGCCCGAAAGCACTGCTGCTGATGCCGATGACCGGACACCACCACACACGGTGATTGGAACTGAATGCGATCAGCGGTTGAGGGCAGCCTTGATAGCTAGCTGCTTGCGGGGAGCCTTTCGTTGTGTACTGGAGAACACCACCACTCACCACGCGGTGATTGAATAAACCGAATGGAATTCAACTTTGAAATCTGTGTTAGGGAAATCACTTTTCGCAGGCAATCGATGATAATTTTAGTTATCATAGCAACAGTTGCACATTCGTGAAATTTTCAATAGTGACATTTTGGAAAAAAGATAAAGTCTTAAATTAAACAGATGCGTAAGAATATTTCTGATCGATTGGTGATATAATTATTGAAATTAGTCCAGAGGCAGCTAAGTTATTAACGTTCAAAATCTTTCATAATTTTGTTACATGTTACATTTTCGGTTTTCACAAAGTGTACCCCCTTATAGAAATCACAGACGTAGTCCTACGTCAAAAAACTATTATTTTTATACCAAAAAAATCTTGCATCCAACCTGAATCAAATGGTGTAATTAAAGGTGAATTTCATACATATATGACCATGTTGAAAGCTTTCAAAACCTGACACTATTTCGTCGCACAACTTTTTTGATTTGCACCCCAGTACAGTCCACAAAGACGTAGTCCTACGTCAAAAAACCACAATGTACATTAGACTGATGCAAAATTTGAAATTTTCACACCACAGTGCTCAAACGGTTCCAAATTAGTCCTGATTATCCTCCCAAAATTTGAACTCCTTTAGTAACCATTTGAAGTTTATATGGAAATTACTATGGGGAAACCATAATTTCGATTCATATCCATCTCAAAATTCCCCAGTTAACTCTACTTTAAAAAATGACAGCTTAACTTTTTGAAAATTTTCTCAGCTACAACTTTGTTAAAGATCAATTTTCGATCAAATGTAAGGAACAAAAATTATTAATGATTCAAGTCACTGATGTCTTATGATTATGATCAATCAACTGTTCAGCAGGCAACATTGGTGTTTTTGGCGGGTAGAATAGAAGACAAAAATCATGGCTACTACGTCATACTGCAGAATACAGTGTTGCCAACAATACAGTAGCTTAAACTTGCCATAAGATTATCAATCTCTTAAACAATTA